TAGTTTGCTGCAAGACGTGCTGGCAGGAGTGAGAGAGAGATGAGAGAGGAATTTACATATAGTGGCATTGCTTTGCCTACTGGCGTGCGGCGGCAACGTCGCGCTGGGCAAAATTCACCGGTCCGTAGATCGGCATTGGTGCTGATGGCTGCAATACCAAATTACTCACACAATGCAAGAGATACCAACCACCGGGATTTGGTTAGGCTGACTAGAGGAAGTATACATGCTACACAGACAACCACAGCTAAGTTGTATTTGCGATGTGCAAGATGCTTTATACTCTAGGTTAGATCGAGGATCTATTGACTGTGCTGTCGATCGCTAAGTTTGTCGAAGCTTTGAAATGTTAAATGCTAGACTTTAGTTGGAAAAGGCATTGAGATTATAATCTTCTACATCGCTATTAACAACGCCTGTAGCTTTGGAGTTTATTCGTCGGACTCCTTCGGTGTTGATAGTTAATAACGGATATGAAACTTGCTGAAAGCTGCTGAGCCAACGATCGCGGCCCGGTACTGGTGAGGTAGGCGACTGACCCTTAGCTTGAAATTTCATAGGCTACGATTCGAAACGGCAAAACAGCTATCAAGTCTGAAATGAAACCAAAAATTTTTTCAACAGAAATTCTTTTATGTGAAGACCCCCATCCCCACACGGTATAAATGCCATACCCAGGATATTATTTACCTTTATCTTTACCAATTATCAAATAACAAAAGGGATGTTTGTGAATCCCATCCGAGATGAAATTTTTGATGTCTTTAAGGTACCTTGTTAGTAAAGTCTCGCGAACGTTACCATGTTTATCCTCTGTTTACATAGACGGTCGTGGACGACCAACACTTGGGCTGACCATACTATTTACATAAATATGGGGCAATGAAGATCTACGACCATTAGCCTCGCAGACTCTGATATTTACCCACCACAGCAATTTCTGTGACGCTCTTGAGTATACTCTGACACCGTAATACTTAGTCCAGCGACGCGATGGCTACAATCGCAATACTATGTGGATTCCACTCCTCAGGATGGCTTTACTCCACATCTAGTCAGTTAGTGATATTGCAACTCGAGTATATTGCTTCGCGTATCATAAACTCGGTGGCAAACCACAGAAACTTCGCTCTCGATTATTCATACAGGCGCATTGGCATATACTTGTGCACAGAAAAGCCGTCTATTACTCACCGTCACGTACGACTATGCTAAGTCATACTTACTTTCCTTCTAACATCATTCGTTGTTGAGTACCTAATAGGTGTCGTTACGCGTAGCCATAACTTTGAGCGGCTTAGGGTTAGGGTTAGAGTTAAGCGGTTTTTGCATATTCCTTGATATCGGAGTCGCTGTGCATCAGTTGATGTGGATTACGACAGAAATCTGTCTGCATCACTTCGCTGTATTTTAAGGTGCCTTAAAGCTGATTTGCGCACTAGCGATAGTAGTCATCTACTTGACTAGTTACTAGTCTACTAGTATCGTAGGTTTTAGTAGAATGTAAGATTTACTGTTACAGAGCCGTTTTAGGCTACAAACCCACAGTCTAAGAGCTTTGACATGGCTGACGTCGATCGTTTACTGCATGTGTTCAACTGCCGGTGTAATTTAGTAACTTACGACGTCAATAAGATGTGATGAAGCGTGATGTGCTACACAACACAGACAAGGAACAGCGAAGACCAACTCACAACACTTCACAGACCTGTACTCACTACTCACTGTTTGTGTGTGTGTTCATGTATTCTTGTTCTCGTTGTATAATCGCCGGATCGGAAATGAGAAATTTGTGTTCGCACAGCACCATCTAGTGGCGAGAAACGACGCGAATAAAATTGCAAAAGGCACCGAATATGAACTCAACGCTCATTGGCTGGAAACAGACATTCGGTAGCGATGAATCATCGCCTGTTTGACCACGTGTGCAGCGGTGAGATCATCACATGCCACAGCTCTATATTTTCGTAGTACGTCGAGCAGTCGTCAGCAGTGAGTTTCGTCAGGTACATTGTCGCGTGTTCTGATATATTTTATTCGGTGTGTTTGTGCTGTGCATAGAGTTTCGGCGATCAGTGACTAACGCTGAGAAAGTACATTGGGGGAGCCTATTGAGAGTATTCCGTGGATATTTTCGGTGCTTAAGCGCGCAATTTCAGAAGTAACCGTGGATTGATTCGTAGCGATGGATAGATGCCGCTTCTTGCCATGCGACGTGTTCGTACATGTCCATGCGTAGTTGGCACAAACAGCTATTCGATATATTCACGATGGCATGCTTTCCACTGTGTATTCGGGAACAAAAAGATGACGGCAGTCAAGAGGAAAACACCGATTCCCGGTTTTATGCTGTGGTCGAATTCCTAAAAAACCTTTTCGAACTCAGTTACGTGACAAAACCGGCCAGATCGACAAACGAATTCGGGAGTTCAAACCTGCGCAGGAATGAACCGACGTGCAATGTATTTACAGTAGAACAGAACCATCGAGCAAAACCTAGAGTGAGAAAACAAGTCTCCTTCGATCTTAGTGAGAGCAGACCCACGGGACCTACGGTGACCGATCGCAGTGTGTTGTCGTGTAAACAGTCCGGCGTTACCGTGGCAACCAGGCATCAGCATCCCAAGATGTTCTGCATCTCGTGCGGCAGTAGGAAATCGAAGGCGTGCGCATGCCATGTGCACAATACGAGGTTTGTGTTGTTGTTGATGCATATGTGCCTATACTTGCCGGGGTCAAAGCATGATCGAGTGATCGGCAGTATTTCAAGAACAACGGTGAAATATGCTAATTATGCTATTATCGATTTCTGGCTATAATATACTGTGTAGATATGTCAGTGTTGTACTTTGCTATGCCAACCTGTTGCAGAACGAAAGGTTTCATAGGTAGAGAGCTGAATGCGTGAATGTAATAAACTGCGTTATTATCAACCTTGACAGCATTAATTGTGTACACCATGCTAATAGTAATATTACACTGCTAGCTTTGCTCCCTTTGCTCCCATTACAAGAAGCTTACTGTAGGCACCTTACACAAGAGGCTTACTGTAGCGGGAGCGAAGGGGCTTCACCGGTAGAGCTAGATTCTACCACAACAGTATCATAATTGTTATAATAGTTTTAGAGGGGTTCTTAGCAGCTTTAGGTTTACTAACTTTTACCACTCACACGTTCCATGTCTATAAATAATTGCCACGTGTTGTCTTTGCAGTACAACACAAGTGGCACATACTAACAGTGACATAGGTGCCATCCTGGAAGATGTCCTCGTGCATGCTAAACAGCAAGGAAGAGTGACATGTGGCATATATCCTGCTGCCAAAGTTCTTGAATTGTAAGTAATAGTACCGGGTAGTACTAGTAGGTTGGAAGCACCGTGTGGTAACAATTCCCTTCTTATCAATCTAATACTACGTATACTTAGCGCCAAGAAACGGTCTTGCTAATCACTTTGTACAATACAATTGTATAGACAATCAGTCGCACAGCCTCATCAGTATACTCTTGATACTACGTATTAGCAAAGACACATTGTAATTATGCATTGTTGAATTTGTTGTCATCCGCTACAGAGGCACTCAGAGAGATGGCAAAACTTTCCCTCAAATATTATCATTTATTCTCATATAGATATTGAATAATTGCACAGATTGTATATAGCTTTTAAGTGCGTGCATGCCTGCTGCGTGCGTGCGTGCGTAAGTATAAGTGTTGGTACTTTCGTTTTTACAGGGAGCCAAACTCTGTGATGCTTGTAATTTTGCCACGAAGCCGGTTTAGCGACGTATCTCTGCATATTCATTACACACTGATAGAGGCCTTTTGTTGGGAGAGCAACCTACGTCTGCTCATGGTAAGTTTGATTTGGATCTACTTCATATTTAGATTTGCACGGTTTTGGCATATCTTAAATTTAGTAGCAGATTTAGCAATAATTGCATGTGAATGGTCTAAAAAATCGAATATCATCTTGGCATTGCTTATTCTCTAAATATGATTTCATGAATTTGCATTTTGGTTCATAATTATTTTGTTTCTTGTAAAAATTCAGGTACACACAAGTACCATCCCTACCCCAAAACTTTCACTGGGATAAATGGTACCAAATAAATGTCAGGTACACAGTGATGAAACATCTTTGTGACCACAGTGGGTGTGTAACATTTTGCTGTACAAATGGGAATGTAAACATCGTTACATCATGCGTATCATGCATTCACGTAATGTTTGCACACACCTTTATTATTTATGAAGAACTGCATTCACGAGTATTGTAGCATTCCCAATGGAATTTTACCACCCTCATTCACGGTTATTGTTGCATTCCCAGTGGAATTTTACCACCCTCATTCATGAGTATTGTAGTATTCCCAGTGGAATTTTACCACCCTCATTCACGAGTATTGTAGTATTCCCAGTGGAATTTTACCACCCTCGAGCTCGATAAAAATCCCCTATCACGCAAAATATTCCACACCACTTCGTAAGTTCCCATTACTTTGGAGGTGTGTCGAAATTGAATGGCGCACGTGCGTGCATGGCTGTTGCGCTGGAATGTAAAAAAAATGTTGCAATAGGTAAGTAACCCGCAACAAACATGCACCTGCTTTAGTTGCGCAACCTTTAGAGCGTGTATGCGGTGGCCTGTACTCTGTACCAATGTCCTTGTATACATGTCACTGACACAGTCCTGCTGGCAGCTATTCACAAGCAGGACTTTCACCCAGCTGTTGGCTATTATCTTGCTATTATGTAGCAGGCAGTATAGACAGCGCTATGTGTTGATAAAATAACGTGTTTCAGTATATATATTTCTACATGAAAGACGTGCAATGAGCATTTTTAGAGCTCTCTGAACATTATTGCACTATTATCACAATATTGAAGCTTTTGTAGACTATCACAGTTTACTTGATTGATTAGAGTTACTCGAGTAACTAAAGAGTGATGCGAATAATGTGTGAACATGATATGATGATAAATAAAAGGTGATTTAATAATGTCAAATGTGCCACAAAAATTTCAGTGATATAATACAGGTAAACTCGGGAAATAACAGCTCATGAAATTGTGTTGTGGGCGATATTGCACACGCATACACGCATCGATATGTTCTTTTAGGTTGACAGTGCTGAGAAGCTGTCCAAAATGCTGGAGGATGTACCAGAAGTACTTCTAAGTCCTGTTGGAGAAGTCGATAAACACACATGTGCCACAGAAGAGCAGGACTACAACTGTGTACTTGTCCAGGTAAGAAAGTAACAAGTGCAAAACTACCGCACATTCGCAGTACGTTGAATGTAGATATTATCAAGATTTGATCATGAATATGACATGTAGTACTGTTAAGGTTATACTGTCATTATCATTCATGGTATGTAAGCACACAGGCATTTTCTGTTTACAAACAACACATAAAAGCATATATGGATGAGTGAAATGACAGTGAGTGGAAGTTCACTAGCACTATTCATTTGATACATTCAATCAGAAGTAGATAACAGGGACTACTACACCCTAGGGCCCTATTATCTACTTCTGATTCAATCAAACTGCACATTGAACTCAAATGTTTGCTATTGCAGTATCCGTGTGGATGGAACAACAGTTCACACAGTGAGGACAAGCTAATAGAATATTGCAAAAACATCTACGACCTGTACCATCAACCGATTATAGAACTTCCGGGATGATAAGGTTTGTCGAGAGATCCCTTCCTCGAACGAGTACCTTCCCGTTTCAATGGTACCATGGACGCACGCATTCCAGAAAAATTTTCTGTGAAAGGACGCGTTCAAAACGATGCTCCGCACGTGATGTGGACTCCGTAGACATGAGGTAGCGAGACGAGACGTGTACGTCATCGTCACGCGAAGGAATGGCCTTGAAGTGTGCTGATCACCCCCTCCGTGGAACAGCTAGAGTTTGGAAAGGCACGAGACTGCGAGTTGAGTCTGGCCATTGTGTGACGTATGGAGTCGCAGCGGATGATGATTGTGCAGCTACACAGGAAGTCGCCAGTATGTATGCTGGTGAGGATTAGATTACGCGATGCGGCTATATTATGCAGGCTTTCCTATCCTGTACCTGCCCAATGCCGTTCACCATGTTAATGATGTTATTGGTTCTGGTGCATTTAGATAAATGGCTCCGGTTTTTGCAATCAAATGAGCCAGCAGTTGCATATATGAGAAAGGTAAATGTTATTTAATAAGGTTAATTTGTGAGAGCCACGCAGCTAACATTACGTCTAACACGGATTTTCCAGTGAACATTTGCTCGCGTGTTATTTTATGGTGTCGTAAAACATCACTCGCTGGCGAAAGTGGCGTTAGAGGATTGAAATAGTGCAATTGTTAATGTAGGATGAATTTGATGCCATTATTGCATACAATTTGCATACAAGATCAAGTGCAACACCTCTTAAATATGATGACAAGTTAAAAGTGTATATATCATGTGAATGACTCAGAGAGTGGATTTATTGATCAAGCAGTGATGCTGCTGCTGCCACAATGATGATGTCACAATTGACAATGTTATTGTTCATGATGGTGATAACGTTGTTGTTGATGGTGATGATGATGATGTTGTTGTTGACGATGATGATGATTATGATGGTGATTATTGTCAGCATCATCATCATGGTTGTGGCGTTGGTGCGTTGTGCGTTTCAGGAACGATTGCCATTCCACTATGTATCCGAACTTTGGAACTTGTTTGTGCACACAACACGGGGTTGTAACCGGTAAACTTATTCACAACTACTGACCTTTATATTACCGGTACATTCAGCTACCGGTCGTGTTGACATTTAAGAGCTAATGCCGCCTACGAGCGCATCCTATGTTGAGAGCGTGCGGGGACAGTCTAACCGTAAATAGATCGGTAGCAGCTAGCGTTGCTGAGTCATCGGTGATGCTGCTGCTGCGGCTGCTGCGCTTGACAGAGGGGGGATGAGTATGAGGAATTTCCTGGAAAAAGCTGGTCGAGGCCCGGGAAATCAATACGCTAAACTTACCCAGAAAGCAGCTGTTGGAAACGAAGAAAGAAAACTGTATTTCGAGAAGTCGAAGTAACTAAGACCGCCATATACGGACGTGGGTGATAGTCAGAACTGGTGATTTGCAGTACATATAGATTTCACTGCTGATAGGCACCAGGATATCGGAATGGTGATAAAATATCTGGAATGGTGATAGTGTTCATTCATGGTGGGCATTTTATGGACAGGCTGCAGGGTTCATAGCGGGAAGATCTTGTGTGACTAACTGACTATGCCATTAAATTGTATTTTCACGAGGAAGGCACGTATAAACTTGGTAAATGCGTACATGCAACAATGCATCCGACAAGTCGAGATAGCACTACCTTCCATGTGCCCCAGCTATTGGAGCGAGTTTTTATGGCTTCCTAAACCTACCTAAAACGCCACTGAGTTGCATTAGTTGGCAGCAGTGTCATTTGCAAAACTGTTCACTGGACTGTTGGTGTGTGTCTGTTACAAGGATCGTTTGCCAATGCCAGTGCCTGCCAGTGGCTTCATGTAATGAAATGTTCAATTGCGTTGTACATAACTTCCAATACATTGTTATACACGGGTGCATTTGATATTTTAATTATGAAGGGCATGCGTGAGCACTTTGTAACAAAATCTACCCAAATATGTTGTTCTTTTGTGCACTTGCTTGCCACTTCCAGTGCTGCGGAATTGAACACAGAAATAGCACACAGTGCTATTTAAATGATATTATGTTATAATATATTATGTATGATGTTCGGATTAGTTTCTGATCTTTCTTATAGTGAGTGTATGTAGTAGTTAGTAGTTACCATTGTAAACCAGAGCATGTACTCATAATTCTTCAATTGTTGAAATGAAAATGAAATATTAACGTTTTACTTTTATACAGGGAAAATGTAAAATAGGGTATATGATATGAAAATAAATGGTCTCAGATCTCATGGACAGTTCATTATTTGTGTTACCATTGCCTTATTTGTTCATTGTTTGACTGCAACGTGGAAACTTTTAGGAAATCATTACCTACTTTAACGTGCATTTTCTTCGTTTTTTTGGGTCCACATGGCTTCATCAGATTTTGCACAAAATGACTTACAACACGAACCATTCAAAAACTCTGTAAGCACACCAGTAGAAATCCACACCATCAAAAACAACAACAAATTAGATGGCAAAACCTTTATTTTATACAATGTTTTAGCAGTTACACGGACCTAGAATGAAACGAATGGACCAGCATTTCCTTCTCTTTTCGTTGCATATCTGCCCATGTCGTGTCTGTTACGAAGCGGATACGGCTTTGAATAGAAACTGTGGCCGGATTATAGCAAAGGCACTACCGCGCTCAGCTTATGAGAACGAGAAACTTGTCAAATACATAGTACTGGAAATAGCATTTAGGCTACTAAACGGTAATAATGTAATAACTAATTTAAAACGACTGTTGGCACCTTACGTATGGCTTAAAATTACAGTTGACACTCAACATGATTTCCTTCCAGCTAACAGCTTGGACCTGCTAATTAGCTTCTTCTGCCAATAAAAATAAAAAAATGAGGTAGAAGCACAACTAAAATTTCTATGCTCGTGAGCTCCGTTTTCTCCATAAAATCATTTTTCCTTAACCTTCACACATACCCATGCGTTCAATTTGGCGACTACTGCTAGTAGTAGAAAGTGAATGTTCACATTGCACCGATGACAAACTTGCTGCACAACCAGGAAAATTTGGCAGATTGCCAGCTAAGCACATCGCCATTCGCGATCTAAGGGTGACCAATAAGGTGGCGATTCTATTCTACGTATCCTAATTCTTACAACCAAACAAGCATTTCACAACTGCACACACACATACGAACAACTACCGATAAAACGTGCATGGATACTTTTTGCTTAAATACGACACAACAACATAAAAGCTTTCCACTAACAAAATAGGAAATTGGTGAAATATACCCCTACGATCAATCTATAATACCATACCATAAAGAAATACAGTCATGGAATATTCAAGGAGACAACCCCCAACAACCAAAAGAGAGGATTTCTCAGCCTTGTCTAATTGCTAGTTTGATGGCATCACACACACACACACACACACACACACACACACCTGCTACATTTGCCTGCAATGGAACTTGGCAACAGCGGCTAGGCAGTGGTGTGACGTGGACACACCCCCGTAACGACGCGTGTCACATTTAATTCAATTACAAATGAAAAAAAAGCACTACAGGTGAATACTTTGTAGTGACACTCACTGAGCAAAACGCCGAGAGAAAAACGTTGCCAGTCAACCGTTCCGCACCCGCTGAACTGAAAATGACTAGCATTACGCCGAGAGATCAAGCGCGCAAAATCCAATTCAGTTTTGATGAGCACGTTGCGATGGAGTTTTTACCACGGCCATGCTCATAGTGAAGCCAAGGATCGTTCGGACGGCACAAGATTACACGTGTTACAGGTCTAAAGGTCACGCAGCTGCATAAATATAAGGACACTCTAAAAACATGCTCGGCCTAGTACGCACGATTGTCTCTGTTAAGGCTTGGTGAAAAGAAAAAATACTTTGACGCTAGCGGCGCATTAAGCGACCGCCCGCGCAGCCTGATTATCTAAATATATCATCTTCATCATTCAAAAAACAATTACTTAATCGTTGAGCAATTGATATGTGGCATGTGATAAAAAAATTTAAATAAAAATGGAAAGGGCAAAAAACCATCGACTCTCAAGATTTTCAGATGGTATTCTATCCTACGAATTTTCAGCTAGTTAAACTCCTTTCGTAATGTACTAGCAAAACCTCGCTGTCATCATCATTCAGCTACGTGATTCTGTTAGCAATGTCTTCTATTCACATTCTACATATCAAGCTCAAGTTTGACACGTATTTCTACCAGTATACATATTTGGCAGCTCGTTGATGCACACATTACACTTAGGACGTAAACAGTGCAAAGTAAAAATGCAACCCCCCCTTTAAACTTACTAACGCGCGAGCAAATGCATCGACCGCGCATGGTAGCTGGACAATTCTGTTTAGATTGCTTCTATAGGACGCATTTGTTCAACCATAGCTCTCACCATTGCAAATGCGCGCACTTGCCAAATTCATTCAGTGCGATTTTGTTTAATGTGACAACCAGGACTCCGTGAAAGTTTAGTCAGGAATGCTGGCACGTATGCCATGCACCCACTACAACGCGACGACAGTGAGAGAACAGTGTTTGACAACACACAGCTGATGCTAAACAGACTAGATTTACATTATCTCAGGCACAGTTTGTGGTATTACAGACAACAGCATTGCCAGTACACATATAAACAAGCTGAAATCAATCACGCAAAAACTATTATAAAGCCGACATAATAATGATAGAGGTTTGGTTTTGCGGATACATTCATCATCACTGTTCATCAGGTTTCATTTTAACATGCCTGATTTATCATATTCTTGACAATTAGATATGATTTTGACACAACCAGATAGTGAAGATAGAAAGAAGCAACAAAGATATGCCAATTGCTTACCATTACATTTCGTGATGTCAGTTTTACGCTCGAGAATAATTTCCAACAATGACAAGGTAGTTGCACTGTGACAGCCATTAACCATGAAAACACGACACTGTGAAACGAATCGAGTATGATTTAATCATGCTCACAGCCGAACCTCAAACAACCAATGATGCCATCTTGCATATATCATTGCCATTGGCATCGTCACGACCTTCAAAAATATTTGCGTTACCAATAATGTTCACACGAGTAGATTTGCAGCGTGGCCACCGTTGCAACGAGTCTAGCATCTGTCATTATAATACTGTGCAGGAGCTCTTTTCCTTGAAGGGGTTTGCTTTGTCAGTCGCGAATCCCACCAGAAGAACATCCTCATTCCTGCAGAATGACAATTTATTTCATTTTGTTCCGTTTCGTTGTTTGGGACGTGATTGGGTGCGATAGCAGGAAAATGGCAACTTTAATATGAATGCGCTACGGCATTATGTATTGAAACCTCCCAGATTAAATGCGGTCAAAGAGGGGCAATAGGTAAAACAGCTCACCTAGTATAAAAATTGTAAATACGTAAAATTTTATAGTAATGTCAGGGCAAAGATCATTTGCTTCTAGTAAGCTAATTATGCCACAATGCTGTATCAGCTGTGGTAGGAGATAAATCTAATAAAAACTTACAGCAGCATGCTTATCTGTATAACATGTTACATTACACTATGAATTAGAAAGTCGTAGAAAATACGGACTAAACACGGAAATGTTCCAAATCGCAAAATACGGACAGCTACGAAAAATTACCCAGCTAATTAGTCCGTAGCAAAATATACGGACTCCTACGAAATGTATACGGACTGCCAATTAACTCTGCCTGATATCGGCGAGTCCGTGATTATTACGTAAAAACTTCGAAAATTTGCTAGCCAGCGTGGCGCCCGCAGACCAGCAGCGCGAGCTTTTGATGCAGCAGAATGATAACAGGTGCTGATAGCTCGGGCTATTTACCATCGCTTGCTGCATTAACAGGCAGCGTGGCAGTACTCACGCCCGGGCGTGGGCGCACGGCATCTGGAACCATCTACTAGTGGAGCGACGCAACGACTCGCACGCTGGCTGGTCGGTAGTATTAGGTGCGTTTTAAAACATTTCCGTGTTTAGTCCGTCAGACGCAAAACAAAATTTGACATAAAAACTTGGCAAACACCTTCCTTTCCTTTATACTCAAGATTTAGAATCTGGAAGGACGATACGATATCGTGAAGCAACGTGGGCTACTGAAACCGGTTAGGAACACCAAACCAAGAGGAGATGTGTTTTCACCTGTGGTCTTCACAGTATTTCTTTAGATCCTCGATGCATGCGGACAGGGGCTGCCTGCGAACTCCGGCCTCCCTTCTCAGCTGCTCCACCAGCTTTCTCTGATTGGCTACGTTCGACATCTACAGTGATGTGCAGACGATATATGGGTCAGTCGCCACGACGTTTGCAAATGCATACTTGCTGAGACAACGTAATGAGGATGTGCATGCTTACGGGCATGAAAGTTGCAAAGGCGATATTTTCCAAACGTACCCAAAATAAACATTTCCTCAAGAAGCAGACGACCCAGCACAATTTCGCCCTATTTCCACAAAACAGATGCCTTTACAGTAACATTAACGATCATCCTTTCGTGAGCCAAAGCAGTAGAAAACTACAATTTCTGAATTACAAACACTGCAAGCACTCAAACATACATGTATAAACCTCGAAACGCACTCTGCATGCCTACTGGCTATCTCATCGGCATATATTTTTGATGTTGTTGACATAAGTGTTAAAAGATAAAGTTAAATAGATGTAAAAATCATGTACAGAAAATAACATCACTCATTGGCATAACACACATATATAATAACTTCTATATATGTATACATAATAGATAATGCTTAGGTGACTAAGCACTACCTATTACACCTGCATACAAAAATTACGTCACTAACTTCCAGTAACTTACCTTGGTGCAGACACACTACGCTTCCAAGCGTTCTCTCTCGGCTCGTGATCTTTGGGCAAACTTGGTGAACGTCACTCCGTCGACTCTCACAACCTGCAAGCGAAAAACACGTACTTAAGCAAACAGGCCTGCAGCGCAGCTTTTAAAAATTCAGGCGTCATTGATTATTACAGTATATAAATGAAAAGGAACGTGCGTCATACCTTCATGAAGTAAACACTAATAAGCATGACCAACATGTAACGAAATTCTCGTACGTAAGATCTATCAATACTCGTACACTCTGAAAGGAAGCCACGCATGTGGATGACTATGGATGCTATTTATAATTGGCCTCCAAATTTGCATCAAGGGAACAATGCTAATGATCCTCGTTGGTTCAGTTAGGCAATTTTTTTGATAAAGAGAGATGTCTTAGGTTCATTATGTGGCAGTACCATTAGTGCACAAACATGCCATACATAATTAACATTCTCTGCTTTATTGAAATTCATATGAACGTATAACTACCGAGAGTATGTTTCACAATTATTCAACTGGAACCTTATTAATATTGCTAGAAGTGGGTCGAAATAACCATATTTCCACTTTTCTAGATCTGCTGCCTGAAAGTATCTGTGCAGTTTTTAAACATACATTTCTGGTGAACAAGTTTGAACAAAAAGTTGTATCACCAATTCATTCAGTATTTTGCTGTTTGTTTAAATGTGCTAACGTTTTCTGAACCTTGGTGAAGGCACTCACTAGTGCAAGACAGAGCACAAACCAGTGGCTACACATAGCTGTTAAATGCACTTCACTCACTATTCATTTTACATGGAGAACCGAAAACCCATATGGAAAAGGATATTTTAGAGCTCTGTCACTTCAAGATAGGAACCAGTATTTTTTCTCTTTGCTCGTGCGGCTCTCTTTGCGTAATTTGTTTCTTAAAGCCATATCTACGAGAATTATGTAGTGTTTTCCCCCACTTTTATGACTGTTTAATCACCTACTGTTATTGCTTGAGTAATAGCGACTGTCTAGAGTAACGATGAAATGTATTAGAACCTTCGTATTCACCGAAACATGTAAGTTCGATTACCAGTGACCCTTTTCTTGTAATCTGGGACCAGTTAGTAGTGCTACTAGCGCCAGCTGTCGCCCATAGACTTACACATCTCTCGCAAAACCTTTTTGTATCTCGCTTGAAATGAACAAATTACAAGTTGACACATTTAACAAATCTCGCGACTCGATGTTATTTTCCTTGTGTTACGATGTGTTCATATCCAATTTTCTATGCTATTTATAACTGCATAAAAATCTTAGTGTTTTTCAAGTTAGTGTAATCAGTGATATATATATCTGCTGTGAGGTGAGACTATATTTTGCAATTTTTTTTGGATCGAGCGTTTCTGACCACGGTTACGCTTGCGACAACATTTTTACATTAAGGTTGAACCTTGGCCCTTGATGCAATTCAAGTTGAGTAGTTAATTAGTGTGAAAAATATCTTTCAAATTTACATAAAACTGATACTAGGGTTGAACAAAATTTTAAATTACAATCTGTTACACTGGGACTTTATTGCCACTCAGAAGTGGTGTCTGTTTAGTTCTCATCACTCAAGCACTTCAAGTACGAACACATAGGACTGCTAAAGGTCTTCTACCTTAGATGCAATAACATAATCTACTAGATTATATAGCCAGACAATATCATTATCATGTGAGCAGATCTATCAAGACGGACACAACGTATCATATTATATAACAAGTGCCGCAGTGCGACAGGGCTCATCTGGTGTCTGGTGTTCTGCTGATAAATTCATTTGTGCATAGCAAGACGTCTTATACATAAGTCTTCTTTATTCTTGTTTGACTTTCGTAGCCAATTCGAACAAATATATCAGCTACACTTTCGCACCCACCTAATCTCTAAGCATTGCAGACACATGTGCATTGCAGGTTGGCAGGCAACAATTATGATTAGAAGCGTGCCAGCCATGGGCTGCCCCGTGTTTTTGCCTACCCATGGGAGCATTCACTGATTCAGCCTTCAGGGTGCTATAGACAGACTGCTTTAGAAAATATTATGATTTAAGGAGCGTAAACCTTGTTCAACAAACATTTGCCTTTGCAATTAAACTGTGCAACTGTAGCCTCACATTCACACAGGTATGGGCTCTAATAATAGCAAAAGCAGTTCAATCCTTTGTTAACAGTCAACAAATCAATGTTTAACCCTCTTCTTGAGGGTCAAAAGGTTATCCGACACTTACTCTTCGTATTTCAGCGGAAAGTACATTTCATGGTCCTTTCAATAAAGCCATAAAAATGGTAGGTCTCCGCTGAAACAAAAAAGTTTTCCAATCGCTCCGTCAGACCATGTCCTCAGAAAATGTCTAAAATCTGCCCTGTGCCCCATTGACCTTTGACCTCCAATTTCAGCACAGTGATGGCTTTTCCTACCATGATGCTATACACCGACTATCACGAGCCTAGGTCGAGCCGTTTAGATTTGTGCCGCAATTCTGCATTTCCTCCCTATACCTTAAGTTAAGGAGGGAATGTTCCACCTTCTTTTACACCCCTTGACCTTTGACCACCAGCTTCAACATCCCAACTCGTATTCTGATTACCCCACCCCCCCACGTCCCAACTTTCGAATCCGTACGTCTAGCCATTTAGAATTGTGCCCAACTGTTGACAAGACGCACGCACGGATGCACGCACGCACAGACAATCATGCGATTCTACAAGCTGCATCTGACTACGTCAGATGAGCTAAAAATAAAACTCGAAACGCGATTACTAACTTGAAAGCATACAACACCATAAAGAGCAACGCGGAACACCCGATTGGTCAAAGCATCACATTTACTGCTTTTGCAATTTGCATCACTTTTACTGCAGCTCCTTAGTCTGCTAAATGGTGGGAACCATTCAGCCGGTGGGGTTGTAGTTGTACATAAATTCTTTATAATTTTACAATTTACCTTTGTTACATAAAAAACTGCACTCCATACGTCTTTTAAAATTGCTGTTTACTTTTCAATCAACTTCGAAATTTTTTGCTTTCACGGGGTGCGAAATTCACCCTCTTTATCTGGTACTCATACAAACTACTAGATTTTGTAATCTGGACCCGGTTCCACAGATGTGGATTAACTCTTAACTCCGAGTTAAAAGTTAACTCACAGTTAAATTCCATTCCACAGTCGTGGATTAACTTTAACTCTGAGTTAAATATGCCCAACTCTGAGTTAAAATTTAACTCTGGTATGCACCTAGATTAAACTCTTAACTCAGGGTTAAAAATCAAGTTGTACATTCGATTTAGTTATAGATAGTCTTCGGTATGATCCTTTAGACTTTGAAGACTATATTCTACAAGGTTAGTTTAGCTCTAGGATACTAGTACTAGAGCTAATTAGTTAATCTAGTACTGGCCTGTGTCCGATCCCCCGCGGGCGCTGGAACATACGGTGTTTGTTTACGTTTGTTGTACATTGGTCGGCCATTGATGGCGTACCAACACTTATCCCTGCATCCGTACTGTGATAATACGGGAAAATGTACGATTTTTAGCTATTTCGCAATAGCTGCATGCGTCGTGCTAATGACGCGAACGTCGAGAGTTCAATCCCTGCATTGGCAAAATATTTTCCGTCATTTATTTATCGCTGCCGGTTTTCATTATAACGTTTTTTCATTACACCTTCTACCATGTTTGTGCGTCTATCATGCATCTATCATGTTCGTCTGTTCTAACTACGTGGAATTATGGGATACTAACTCTGAGTTAAAACATTTAACTCTGAGTTACTTAACTCAGGATTTAATTCATGTTTATGGAACCCAAATTTAACTCGGAGTTTACTAACTCAGAGTTAGTGAGTTTAACTCCGAGTCAGCCTTAACTCAGGGTTAAAGTTAATCCACGACTGTGGAACCGGGTCCTGGTCATTCGTGAGCAATTCTGATAGTTTAGAATTATAGGTTCATCGTAAATATCCATGTTATTCATCAATGCGTTGCGCAGTGTCCATGATAACAAATATTAGTTTCAAGTATTCCTGATAATTAGTTGTTCAATTTGTTTTCGAGTTATAATAACTTACAGAAAAAAGAAATGATTTAAATTATTAAGTTTTGTTGTTTGTGTTAGTGAAAATCTGACAGTGCTATGTAAAGTTCATGAATGCTGGCATTCCAGTAATCTGCCGGACTAGTTGCTACTGTAACTTATGAGTGTCTGTGATTAAATCTGGCAGTATAGGACTAACGGACTACTGATTTCGAACCCTGCTTTCACCTCAAGAAAACATATGAACCTTCTGAGGTATCACTTTTAAAGCATTCTTGTGTGAATAAGGAAACAAGGTTAACCAACTTTTCAGAGTCCTGTGAGAGCTATACTTTGCACCTAATAAAAATTACATTTCATCGACTGGTAACACTTTAACCGCGAAAGGCTTCTGTGCCTTTAAAAACCTTTAAATCTGTATGGTCAGTATACAGTACACTACTTCGTCCTTTAAAGTTGATAAACCTTGCAACAAAAAGCCTACATACACCTACTGTGAGCATACTTGCAGTATGCAAACATCACGAAATGTTCTTATTGAGCCAGAAATGTGCTCCAAACATTGACATTTTTGAAACAGCGTCGGACGCTGTTTCGTCGTATAGATACACATATTAAACTTAAAGTTGTTTTGGAGTGAAGAGCCAACAGTAGGCCTGCGCTAGCGCAAATATTTATTGGAATGAAAACTATATATTTGTCTCCTGATTCCATAACTTGATAAGTAATTTAGATAACATATGATTTAAATAAATTTCACAATTTCGTACTGAATATACATCGAACAATAAAGTATAACATGTGTTATCATAGAAAAGTACTGTTAATGCAGCACAACGTTCGCTCGGCTGTGTACCAGATGTGTTAATGTCGTACCCAAACTTGGAATCTGCACAATCTCGAGATTGTGCAGCGATTGCGCTGCCCAAACTGCGGATTCCCTAGTTTGGCTGACCAATCTCAAGATT